CATTATTCACAAAGAAAAAGCCCCAAAAGTAACATAGACGATTTTTGACACAACATAAAATGAGGCTCGATATGTCACTGTACAAGTTCCGTGGACTTGACATTTTTACAGTATGAGATACTATAATGGCACACATTATTTCACAGGACATACATGTTGTTAGATAGTTTCCCTTAACTTTTAATCTTTTTTACTGCAAAATGTTTTCTCCCATATAACCCATTTTCATCCGCAAAAACCTTCATAACTCATGTTAGTTCGCATTAACGACTCGAATAGTGCTCTGGTATCTTGGGAATAAATTCTATAGACTGTTAAAGGGAAAACTTGGTCCGATATTTTAGCAAACCTAGTGGAACTGCGGTTCCAACCCAACCCCTCTTTTAGGGTAGTGGAATTGCCACTGTGTTGTACATACATAACACAATCAATTCTTGCGAGAGCAAGAGAAATTTTACTGGAACTAAATTCGACACCACTTGGACTTATTTAGTGGTAGCTCAATTGCCATCTAAAACTCACCATTCTCCCTGAATACAATCTTCTCGTAAATCTGAATAGGTGGTGCCTGCAAAGAAGGGGGGTAACCAGCCAGCCATCTCATATATTTAGACACTCCAGAGCCCAACGCAGTCCCACGTGCCTTCTATTAGTAACCCTGGAAAAACACACTCAAAAGGAAATAATAAGAGTCGAGATAGGTCCTTAAAACAGAGATACTCCTGTACACACAACGACACAGTACTACCGACGACACTATCACCACCCACACACACATCACAACACACGCACACGAAACACACACAACCAGAAGATCACACACACACCACCACACACAAACAACAACTAGACTCGTGTGTGTGTGTGTGTAAGAGTTTTGTTTAAGGACCTATCTGACTCTTTATTTCCTTTGTGTTTTCCAGGGTTACAATAAAGCAGTGGACTGGTGGGCTCTGGGAGTGCTCATATATGAGATGGCTGCTGGTTACCCCCCCTTCTTTGCAGACCAGCCTATTCAGATTTACGAGAAGATTGTATCAGGGAAGGTGAGTTTAGAGAAGCCTACCTAAATAATCCCTTTTTCATTTTATTTTTTGTTGCTTGATTGTTTTTGTTGTACAACACAGTGCGCAATTCCACACTGTTCCTCAAAAGAGGGGGTGGGTTGCAAGCTATAGTTTGTAAACTTACAGTTTCCCTTTAACAGTCTATAATTCATACCAGCACTATCAGTCTTAACTAAATGAGAGGGTTTGGGTGGTGGTTTTGGAAAACATTTGCAGGTAAAAGATTAAAAGTTAAGGGAAACTATCCAACATGAGTCCTTGGTGAAATAATGTGTGCATTATATATCTCTTAATTAATAGGACTTGACATGACAACACCTCATTTTTATTGTTTTAAAATGTTATGTTACTTTGGGCTTTTTCTTTGTGAATATGCTTTATTTTTTTACTTCATTAATCATGTTATACAATAAATGGTATAAATCCGGAAGCATTCCTGGCATCAGTTGGTGTTAAACAGAGCGTTAGAAGTTAGAAGTTAGTAAGTGCCCTCAGCGACTTTGAACGTGACCTCATCGTTAACGTTAGACAGGCCAGTTTTAGCATCTCCCAAATGTCTGTCATCTCTGGCTTTAGTGTGTGGTTTGTAACTCAGTGGTGGCGACAAAGGAAAAACTACCAGTGGTAAGCGATCCTGTGGACAAAAATGGCTTATGCATCAGCGGGGTCAGAGCAAAGTGGAATAGTGCAAACAAGCAGACGTGTCACAAACGGGCAAATCACGTCCAAATTTAACATTAGTGTGCACAATGTCATTTTAGACCATACCACTCAGCACTATCACTCACAGGCTCGACTGATGTTCAACTGTAGGGCCTGCAGTTTATTTAGAAAACATAGCATTAGGTATAAAATGCTGGGTTTGAGAGACACACTCACACTTTCTTTTCTGTGTGCAGGTTCGCTTTCCCTCCCACTTCAGCTCAGACCTGAAGGATCTGTTAAGAAATTTGCTGCAGGTGGACCTGACCAAGCGCTTTGGCAACCTCAGGAATGGAGTCAATGATATCAAGGGCCACAAGTGGTTTGCCACCACTGATTGGATTGCCATCTACCAGAGGAAGGTGAGAGGCCTGGCTTCGTACAGTAGCGATGTTTACAAATACAAAACATGTGTTTCCCCTCAGTTTTTTTCATTACACAAAAGTTGGTGGGTTTAGCAGGATTACAACAGTAATGCAAAATCATTTAAAGAATCTGAAGTCGAACTACTTCCTTATTTGACATTATAATGTGAATACAAACAAAACCCTGTTTCTTTGGTCCACATAAGCTAGATAAAATAGTTTTATTTGTATAAAGCCTAATCATGATTCAAGTTGTCAGGGTGGTTCACGAAATAAAAACAGGAACAAATTGAAGTGACCTATGCCTAAAATTGAAGTGACCTATGCCTAAACTTGGACTCATAAGCTGGGGAAAATGCTGCACAGAGAGGGGTCCCCCTACCAGAGCAATCAGGCATGTAATAGGTGCCGACAGTTTGCAAACAAAGGTTAAACGCTGATAACAATAAAAAACTATAAACACAATACACAGAATAAACACTATAAGAACATGAAGCACACATTGTCTTGTTTGTCTTGATGCATTTTAATGGTAAGAAATCTTGCTCCAGATCGCTTAGTTTTGGTATTGATATTACTTTCTCTGCCTACACATAATGCAATTTCATATGTTGTTTTTTACGCAGTTTAAATTATTTCTGGGAAATTACCAACCGAATTGGAAATAGATTATTTGGCTTCGGGGAAACACATGATCACAAAATTAGTTCTGCAATGTGGCCACAGATGGACTTTCAAGCATGATTTCTTGAATATATAATGAATTTAACTCCTATTTTAATTATATTTTAACTTACTATGTACAACTATAAATTAATATAAATGTGATTTTAATTGTCTCTTTATCTCCCGGGGGCCTATTCCAATGTCATCCAGTAGTTTATGGTGCATGCTATGGCTTTGGTGCTCTCTATTAGACTGCACTGCATCATTCTGATGATTTGACTGTCCTGTGTGTTCTAGGTGGAAGCTCCCTTTATTCCTAAGTGCAAAGGCCCTGGTGACACGAGCAACTTTGATGACTACGAGGAAGAGGAAATCAGAGTCTCCTTCACAGAGAAGTGTGCAAAGGAGTTTGCTGAGTTCTAGATTCCAACCATGAGTAGCAGAGAGAGAGAGAGAGAGAGAGAGAGACAGGTATTTAGAAAGAAAAAGGGGGTCAGAAGAAAGGAAGCGCTAGGGTGGACTGCTAACTTGCTTATTTGTAGTGACGACAACAATGTAAAATCCCCCCCAGTCGAAAGGTAGACAAAGTGAAGAAAGATCCAACAGAACCAGCAGTGTTGCCTTTTCTGATTGTTTCTCTGTTACCTATTCATTTTATTTATCCCTCTTGTGTTTGTGGCAGGGGCTCGAGGAGAACAGGCATAGGTTGTGGCTGTCCAGCTATACTTGTATCTTTCTGATGGTGTAACGACATGTTTTCAGTCTTTGCAGGTTGAGGCATTGATTTTCTGTTAAGGTACTGAATCTGCTAGGCTCCCTTTTTTTTTGAACGGGCCCTCTACAAGCTTCTCAAAGAGTGATTGTTGTATCTTTGTCACCCTG